GTCCGCGGCAGGGGGGCGGGCCCCCGGGCGGGCGGGCGGGCGGACGGGCCGACTCGGCAGCAGCAACAACACCGGCAGCAGCGCGGCCAACGAGCACATCAACACGCGAGACTCCCGAGAGCGAGGCGCTTAAGACTAATACGACCCGAGCCCCAATTAGACCGCTAAGTTACTGCCCTGCACCCGAAAAAGAACACGACCCTCGTTAAAGCGCCGGGCTGCCGCGTGCGCCGCGTCCGCCGCCACCGAGCCGACACCGGCCGCCGCACCGCGCGCGCGCATCGCGCTTTACTCCTATTTTCATCCTGATCCGTATCTCGACACTTTATACACCCGGCCCATAACTATAATTGTTTACGGTGGAGAAAGCAAAATTCAGATTCGTGTACCGGTATGGGTCATTTCAGGTGCAGTGGGGTGTGTTCGGGGGGCAGTAACATTTACACGGGGGTAAAGAAAAATATTCAACAGCCGGTTTGTAGTCTCTTTGTAAAGTCTTCTCTTTTAATTATCATCAGACTTGAACAAATTATTTACAAAAGAGTGGTGTCACAGAGTAACAAGTAAAAAACGCACGCTTACATCTACAAAAAAATAAATACTACAATCGAAAATAAATAGTGGATTCAAGTGAGTCGAGTTATCTACCGCTAGAAGACTTAGGTAATAAATAACAATAGCATCCACAGATATCAACAAAATAACTGGCCTCTCAGACCGACAAGGTTGTTTTACTTTATTTTTATAGAATAAATTACATGCTCACACACACTCCTAAACATTCACACAACATGCTTACTTTCCAGTCACAAAGAATCGCTCACACACACAATAAATACACAAAAATAAAAATCAAGAAAGCAAGAACATCACAACGCATTCTGCCATCTTCTTCTTTTCAAACGTGCGCGTCTCCTCTCACTCTCTGCCGCATTCACTCCGTTGTAACATGTCGCGGATGACGCGGAACACGTTAAGCTAATCCGCCGATCACAATCACTTGAGCTAATCAGCATGCAAGATCGCCATGAAAAGAACAAAGTTATAAGACCCGTCCCGGGGTCAGTAAAATGCGTTTCTCGCAATCGTATTGTGTTTTGTTTTTTTGTTAATTTTTCTTTCTTTTTATCACCCACCAGGACAGTATTGCGCGTTCGCTGCGCGCACGTTCTCGCCCTTTGTTGGCAAGGCGACACCGGTCCATGATGTGTGCCCCTCCTCGGGCTGCGGGGCGGGAGGTTGACAGTCGGACCGGGCCGGCGCGCAGCCTCCTCGGCGCAGCCCTTCAGCGCTCGAGGCACAACATGCGTGACCACGGCCGCGCCGGGGACGAGACGGGACGGACAGGGACAGACAGGCAGGCCTTCATTTAATGCCACGCGGTAAACGACATCAACAAGCGTGATGTAATTGAAAATAAGCTGTCGGAGTGGCGACGGCCGAGGAGGCCCACCCTGTAATTCCGGAGAAGAGACGTTGTTGTTCGGCCGTCGCCGAGCCAGCAGAGAGCCGCCCGTCCAGACGGAGGAGGACGACGACAAGTGCAACTAAGGGGAGGGTTGAAGCGAAACGCTTCGCCAATTTCGTATAAAGTGTCCTAATTTGCGTTTGCCGTGGTCGTGCTCAGGGGTAGAAGCTGCTGAGCGCGTCGCCGTACAGGGTGTCGTACGAGTCCCGGAGGATGAAGATGTCGCTGGGCCGGCCGTTGAACACGTAGGGGCCCTTGTTGAGGGAGAACATGGCGCTCTGCTGCGGCGGCGGGCGCACGGCGGGCCGCTGCGGCCGCTGCGGGGGGCCCCAGGACGGCTGATACACGCCCGTGGGCTTGCCGTTGGACATGAAGGCCAAGGGCAGGTTGTAAAACGGGCTGGCGGCGGGGGCCGACGGCGGGGGTGGCGGCGGTGCGGGCGCCGACAGGCCCCCGAGGGGGCGGCGGTTGGGCGAGCTCACGTAGCCCACGCCGGGCACCAGCACGTACGGGGAGGGTGGCAGCCGGATGTAGTAGATGGGCGAGTCGGGCTGGTTCCGGTTGCGGAAGGGCGCGGCCCGCGACAGCAGCTCGTTGCCGTCCTCGTCGGCCAGGGCCAGCCCGGCCTCGTCCAGCTCCAGGGCCGAGAACTCGCCCGCCTCCGGACCCACGGCCAGGTAGCCGCCGCCCATGTTGAGGTACTGCAGCGCCTTCTCCTGGCGTCCCGACTTCTCCTGCAACACCATGAGAAATCCCCACCCAACATGAGGCAATGGTTTCTGTACGCGGCATTCCTCTATTTGTTCTTCAAAACAGCCTGACACATTCATCGCGTGAGTAAAGAGATGGGATATGATGAAGGGAATATGAAAATAAAAAAAGGAACGGGTAGCCGCCCCCGTCAGTCCTCCCGGCAAATGGGTGGCAGGCAGCTTAGCTATGGTGTGTGTGTTTTTGCGGAGTATGTGCATGTGTGTATGCGAGTGTGTGTGGCAAACGTGTGCGTGAATGCATATGTGTGTGTGTGTGCATCCGATGGATAAGACGAGCGGAAACTGCTCTGCTTTTTTATTGTATGTCGTGCGATTATGCAATCATATAATCATCATCTCTCCTCGTCGGACGATGCTGTCCGCACACCGCACACGCACACAGATAAACACACACATGGACACGCTCACACCCATACACAAATGCACACACACACACACACACACACACACACGGGCGATTGTATCAACCGGGCTGTGCGCCCGCCCGCCAGCCGCACACAAGAGCACCGTCATAGCGCCAGCTAGGAGACTCACCCCGTTGGACGGCGTTGGCGCCGCTACCATCTGCTCAGCCGCCTCGTCCAGCAGGTCATCGGCGTCGGCCACGCCCTGCACGTCGTCCGCCAGGGAGCGGCGGCGGCGACGGTGGGATAGCGTCGGGCTTTCGTTCTGCTGCAAGAGGAGACCAGGCTTTGAGTTTGTGCACTAGTACGAGACATGTCCGCCATTGCAGCAGCCTCCGCACTCACCCACGCCGGTGCCACGACCTCCTCCAGCTCGCCGCTGTCGCTGCTGGCGCCGGGGCTGCCACCGCCGGAAAGGCTAGGCATGCCAAAGTTGGCGGCCGCGTTCTGCAGGCTGGTGACGGCCTGCGAGTTCTGCAGCCAGTAGACGCCGGGCCGGCCAGCCAGGGTCTGCAGCGGCCGCACCGGCAGCTGCGACTGGATGACCTGCAGCGGGCGCACGGGCGCGGCGCTCGTGATCACGGAGAGCGCGCTGGGGGCATTCTGGAACGCCTGCCACGGCCGGGTGGGCGAGGTGTTGGACCAGGCGCTCGAGGCGGCGCTCTGGATCACCTGCTGCAGGAGCTGGCGGGCCCCCGGCCCCGGCGACCCGGGCGACGGCGGCGTGGTCGCTCGCACCGCCGACAGCAGCAGCGCCAGCAGCGGCGACAGCGGCGACAGGCCGCTCGCGCGGCCCGCGCGATGGTGGCAGCTGCAGCGGGAGCTGCAACAAAGCGCGCGGGAGGTTAGCCACTTGAGCTGAACTACACGGATAAAACCCGAAGGAAAACCTCTGATGATAAAAGGAGTATATTCCGAGAGGAGGTGGTAATGGCCAGACGTAAAGCGAACCAACACGAACGAAAGTAACGTTCAATCGGGGAGGTACGGGGGAGCTTGTTAGCGCGTCGCGTCGTAGGCGTGGTGCGGGGCCACGCCAGCCGCCCTCGGTGGTCGGACGGGACGACGTCTTGTCGGCCGAGCTGAGCGGCAGAGTGAGAGAGAGAGGTTGATAGCCGAGGCGCATTAACCTTTCCCTTTCCTCTCATCTCGACTATTTCGCGCGCTCTAAAAATAAATTAATTAGCAAGCTCGCTTTTGTTTGCTGGATATATCCGTTTCGCTGCTCGTTTATTTTATGTAGTCTCTCTCTCTCTCTCTCTCTCTCTCTCTCTCTCTCTCTCTCTCTCTCTCTCTCTCTCTCCCTCTCCCTCCCTCCCTCCCTCCCTCTACACAAATGAGAAAAGCAGCGCGAGCTGGCGGTGCGGTGGGTCGAGCGGCAGGTGTTGGGCGTGCATGTCAGCGCTGCCCTCGGCTGTTGTCAGCGCGGCCGAGGCGAGGAGGTGTTTAAAGTCTCGCGGAATTCGTCAAACTCATCCCTCTCTTTTTCCCACTGCAGTTTTGCACTGCGAGAAAAAAAACGAGAGACCAACAAAAGGAAATAAAACGGTCGCCAGACGGACGCCACAACAACAACAACATGCCTCTACGTGCGCGTGTGTGCAGCCAGTCGCGCCCCGAGTGTTGGGAAGCAGCTCCGACTTGCCGCAATACAGCAAACGGTATTTACGATAAAGGCCATCGCAGCGGGCTGGTGCCATGTACGGAGCACCACCACCGCCGCCGCACTGACCGCTCCCTCCCTCTCCCTCGCACCGGCCGCACCCACAGCGCACGCCGCCTGCGGGTAGGCCACCCGCTCCGTCGACGCGCGCGAGGCCGCGCTGAGCTGCCTACCTCGCAGGCGGCCGTAGCGGTCTCCGGCGGGGCGAGGCGGGGCCGACCTAGCCCCAGCGTCCTCCTATCCTGCTGCACTGAGCGGTCCGCGAGGCGAGCGCGACGGTCACACACAAGAGGGCTGGCAGGCACAGGCAGGCCGGGCTACACCTTCAGAGTGACAACGGCCGACAACACCGGGCGGACCGGGGGCCGACGCGGACGTGCCGACGGGCGGGAGGACCGGGCACCGGGCGGTGGTCCGAATAATAGTGATTGCATTAGGCGGGCCCGTCGCACCGCCCCGCGCCGCGCCGCTCCGGCCCGCGGCCGGGCAAGTAGGCCAAACGGACCAACAAGCCCGAAGTGCGAGTTTCAATGAAAGTTAATTGAAAGAGGAGAGCAACATCACAAAAAAAAAAAAACACCGCTCGAGGCGAACTAAAAGGTAAAACCCATCAAAAGAAAGATGCTGCCGCTGCCGAACTTCGGAAGAACGTCTCCGCCGTTTGGAAAGTATACTGACGAAAAATAAATGGCTTACTAAATTACTACTTTTTTGTGTTTATAGTAGAAGTAGTAATGTTTTCCCGTGAAAGCATACATATTTTTTACCGAAGTACAAAGGAGAAACAATCATACAAGCGCAGTAATGGCATTTCGATCACGAAACCAGCGCACTGTGACGACCAACAACGTCCAAGCCAAGGGGGTAGAGAGAGAGAGGGAGAGAGAAAGAGAGAGAAAGGGGAAGAAGGGAAAGGAAGGAGGGGAAGAGAGGGGCCAAACGGTGGGCGCCCGCTGATTGATGCTTGTGTGTTTGGAGAGTCGTCCGCCGCGGCCGTCTCTCCTCGTCCATCTCGGCCGGGTGCTCTCCCTCTCCGTCCTTCTCCATCCCGGCCGGGTGCTCTCCCTCTCCGTCCCTCTCACTCCTTCTCGCTGGCGGGGGGCGCCCCGTCCTTGAAAGGTATGCGCGGCGGCATGCGGCTCGCCATCTGCCCCGCGGCCCAATAGGTTGGGGTCAGGTTCATTTGGGGCGCCCGGCCCCGGCCCGCGGCCCTATTAGAGGCCAACAGAGCCAAACAGAGCGATTCGGAAGTCGGAACCCTTCAATCAGGTCCATGTCCGTGCAGCAGCGGCAGCGGCAGCTGTGGCCGTGTTCGGCAAATCTCGCTATCATCCCTAGCTATAGCTTCGCGGATTCGCAGCTTTTTGCAACAGCTTAAAATATGCAAGATCGTGTGACAATGAACGAAAATATACAGGTGAACAAAAAGAAGCATCCGCAAAAAAAAAAAAAAAATCCTGTACGCGTCGTGCTTTGCGCAGCAAAGGCTTCTTCTTTTGCTCGACTTGTCTTTCTTTTGATCTCCGCCCTCTTTGTAACCTGAACGATTTCGTGTCCATCATACCGTTTCATCACAATTCAAGCCCCTCTTTGCGGTGGGCTTGCAAGAGTGTGTGCAGCGAGCGCTGTGGGCACGGGTCCCCACCGGGGCCGGCGCGCTACAAGAAGGGGGAAGATGCCCCGCGCCGCTCCGGGACGCTCAAACACGCTGCACACGTAGAGGTAAGAAGCGGCGCGACGCGCTACAACGAATTTATGAGTAAGTCTTGTCACGCCGTGCGTGCGTGCGTGCCTGCAAAGTGTGTATGTGTGTGTGTGAGTGACGTGGCGGCAGCAGTACAGCGAGGAGGATGCTTCTAGGAGACACAACACTTGTACAGCACGGCACTTGTGAGTGAGCGACCCCTCTTGTCCAGCAGCACACATCCCCGCAGCCCCCACCTCGCATTTTCATAATCAAACAGCAGCAGCGTCAAAAACAGCGCACTCTATTTTTCTACCACGACGGCGGAGGTTCGATGCACACACACACACACACACACACACACACACACACATGTATGCGTGCTTGCCGAGGAATGTCTGCGGGCTCGGAGTCGCCTCGTGGCGCCTGTAGGCCGGGCTGTAGGCCGGGGCCCGGTCTGCGGCGTGCGCGCGGGGCTCAACATGAGTGGCAAGGACGTTTCTTGCTCCTGCAAGGTGAGCCTCGCCTACCTCGGCGGCCGTGACTTTGGCCGAGAGCTGCGCTGCAGCCCCGGCTGCACGCCCCGGGCCCCCGACTCCAGCGGGGCTCCAGTGCCCCCCCTCCCCTCTTCCCCTCCCCGGACCGGACATCATCCTCGCGAATTGCCTTGCGCCGCTCCCAAGGCCATTTGCATGTCTCG